AGTATAGGTTTCGCATTAGCACGATTAAATGTTCTGGGATTCCCATTCTTCTCAGAGTCAGCCACAGTTTGTTATGATCCACACAGTCAAATGCCAGATTATTAACAATAATATTTGTCATTCTACAGTAATACTCTTTGGTGAATGTTTTTAAAATGCTTTATTGCTGGATGCTCATCATTCCTTTTTTTTTTTTTTGGTCAAACCATGCGTATCTTCAAAGACTCTTGTTCCTGGCTAGAATTTTTTTATTGTAAATCTTTTGAGATTTCTATTTCAAATTAAATTTTCACGGGGATGGAATATTGTTTCACTCTGGTTTAGGGCTGTAGTACATAGGGTCACTAGGAGTCGCAAACAACTCAACGGCACATAACAACAACAACAAACAACTGTTTTATGTGGTTGTCAGTTTTTTCTCTACCTTCCTACTGTTCATATGCTCTTTTCTTCTATTTCTCTTCTTAATCAATGATCTTCAGCAGGAAAGAGCATTTTCCCTCTTTGTAAGTTAATAATTTATGGACCACTGTATTGGGGGGTTCATTCAGATATGTGAGAAAAAGTAATTGTGAACTAGAGGCATAAGATTTTTTACTGTTTACTGGGGAGAAGTAATAGATTACAGCTTTTATTTAACTTTTGCATATATTACATTTTAGGTTGGAAATGCAGACGGGCCTGACTACAGTTTACTAAAGAAACAAGATCTTGTTCCAGGCACAGGATACAGATTCAGGGTTGCTGCAATCAATGGCTGTGGAATAGGCCCTTTCAGCAAAGTCAGTGAGTTTAAAACTTGTATTCCTGGTTTTCCTGGAGCTCCGTCTGCCGTCAGAATTTCAAAGGTGAGACAGCAGGTTAAGGCTTGTTGGTGATTTACATTTGAATATTTGTATGTGAAGTGAAACTGACAGTTTAGAGCTTCTTTCTTGTTAGTGACAACTGAATAAACATCCAAAATGCTGTGGATTAAAAGTTTTAATTTTTTTTTCTTGCTTATTGCCCATGATAAATTGAAGAACCAAATTTCACATGGGATTACAATGTCTGTATCACAGTAAGGGAGGGAAGTCTGGTATGTTTCTTACTATTAGTTAGTTCCTGTTGTTTTGGTAGCACCCACAGATTACATTCTATTTCATGCTAAGATTCTTCTCCTCTTTAAAAAAACACAGAGTAGTCTGCTTTCATGGAAGAAAGAAAGAAAGAAAGAAACCTCTTCATGAGTGTGTCAGGGTCCCAAAGACAGTCCTCAGTTTGATGATTTTTTAAGAGAACTCAGAGAGTTCAACAAGCTGTTACATTCACAGTTACTGTTTCTTACATGAAAGGATGCAGATTAAAATCAAAGGTAAAATTGCAGAGTTGAGTCAAAAGAAACTAAACCTGAACTTTGGTTTCTCCAGAGGTTGTAGCTTAATTCTCGCAGCCAAGATGTGTGACAGCATGTAAAAAACTGTTGGTTCAAGGGAGTACTGTACAGACCAGGGAGGCTCGCTTGAGCCTGGAGATCAGGATTGGTACTGGCGGTCAGCCCTGTCGGCGTGGCATGCCTGTATGACTCACCTTAGCTAATCTGTCTCTAGTGCAGCCCCACTCACCATGGAAGTCAAACCAATAGCTCAATACTCAGGACCTCAGGGGAACAAAAATAAGCATTCACCATAAACCACATTGTTAGCATGAACTATCTGGTGTGGCCTACAACCCCCGGAGGGAATTATTAGTATAGCTAAAACCAGAGTGCTTAATACATTTTATAAAGGTCATATAATTAGGTAATTTTAGAGTTATTGAGATTATAAAAGACCATTATTAGAGAGGACATTCCAGGGGCTTAGAGTTTACAACAAGGGAAGACTGGGTGCCAGTCTTTTTCTTTACTATGTGTAGCGTTTGACCACTCCAAGACTGCTGAGTTAACCCTTACATCCAGTGATCAGGCCAATCTTGTTGAGTTAACCTCTTCTTCTGTATATCGGAGACAACATGTGAAACCTTCACTGAGATGGATTGACCCCGTGGCTGTGACAGTGGGCTTGAGCATGACAGAGATGGTGAGGGCAGGGTTCAAAGCCATTGTTCACAGGGTTACTGTGAGTCGTAGTGGCACCTAACAACAATAAGATCATAGGCTGGAGTGAGACAGACAGCTATGTCTGTTTAGTTGTGTTTTTAGAACATAGGCATGACAAGCTTTTTTACATACAATAAGCAGGATTTTTTAAAATGACTAATGAAAGAACTAACATCCAACATTTTAGCAAAAGTAGTATACTGTGTTCTGAAGATAAATTTGATAAGTGATAATAGAGAAAATTTTAGAACTTTTACTTTGTTTTCTTGGTCCCCCATGCCCCTAACCTTCCTTCTTCAAGAATGTTGATGGTATCCACCTTTCCTGGGAACCTCCAACTTCACCTTCTGGAAATATTTTGGAATATTCAGCTTACCTGGCTATCCGTACAGCACAGATACAAGATAATCCAAGTCAGCTTGTGTTCATGAGGATTTATTGTGGTCTTAAGACATCATGTGTAGTAACTGCTGGGCAACTTGCAAATGCATATATTGATTACACATCCAGACCCGCCATTGTGTTCAGAATATCGGCAAAGAATGAAAAGGGATATGGACCAGCTACCCAAGTCCGATGGCTTCAAGGTAACAATAAGAAAGCTCCTTTAAGCTGAATTGGTTTTAACTGAAGCTATTGTGATGATTATTTATTAGTAACTAGTTATGAAGATTTGTCATTTAACAAAGTATTATATACAAATATGATTGTATTTCTAGCAGCTATGAATTTGAGTTTGTAAGTTGTTCTTAAAATGTATTTGCTCAATCCTAGATCCAAATAAAATTAGAAAAGAAGCAAAGACTCTGAAAATTAGTATATAAATATCTGTGTGTATATATGTATTAGTATATATAAAGTCAGAGGTTTTATTACTCCCACATCTTTTCTAAAGGGCCATGTAAGTCATCCTAGAGTTACTAGATGATTCTAGCTGTGCGTTAGGCTCTTATGTAGAGAATGCTCCCGACATTGTAAATGCCCCATCTCTAAGTACTCTCTCTGATTTGGTTCTGGATGCGCAGTCATCCAGTGGCTATCTTCTAGCGAGTAATACTCATGGTATTAGTTGTAGAAGCCATTTGGTTATTTCTTGGTTGTTTACAGTTAGCACAAGGTTAAGTCATTTACAAAAACAAACAATCCAAATTTAGAAACTCTTTTTGAGTTTTTATTATTTTTAAAGATCATGATAAAATACAAAAAGAATAACAAAGTTTGTTGATTCTTTTCTGGCTAATACATTTAATGTCTTTTTGACCAAAGCACTTCTCTTCGACCTGGCCGTCAGTTTCCTTATTAAGAAATGAGGCACTTAAAGGACAGCTCACCTTTTAAGATCCCTTTCAGCATTAAAATTCTTTATTTTCCTGAGAAATAAAGAAAAAACATCCTGAATATTTCCACATCCGTTTTATTCATCCTCACTTTGCTTTCACTGAAATGAAAACCTTCAGAATTTAAAATTCTAAATTAAAATATCCTCCCATTGCAGAAAGAAAGAAGCACCTTAACAGGACATAAGTTTTGGAATAGTGTTTTAAACATTTGTAAGATTTTGTAAATGCTCTAAATGTTTTATTTTTGCATTATTTTTTACCTTGAAATTGTATAAACTTTTTTATAACTGAAATATAAGCATTAGCTTACTCAGGTTCTATTCCAACCTTAAAGATAACTAATATAGGTATTATCAACACTCTGCTAGCAGTAATGTGTTTTCAACCTCTATGAATCTCACAGTTTCACTGCCTATTCTAGTCTGGAATTGAATATACAAGAGCAATAATTGCAGAAAAGATATTTCAGACTCAAAGCTGCATATCTGCAGGGGCACAGATCTTTTTTATAACACCTCACTGTATGACAGTTTAGGTTGACTGAGTAGCTATGTCCTCAAATTCATGTACCATATCCTTAGCAAAGATGCATTTAATTGTGCAAAACTGATATATATGTGTGTTCCAGTTACTAATTTAAAATGTATAGAGTATTTTAATATATAATTTTTGTAAAGAACTGGCATTTTTATACTATGGTATTTGTAATTAATGTGTCTCATGTGATTTCTTCGAGTTTCTCTTGAAGGAAATATGCAAACTGTTGACACGTAATGTGTGGTTTCTAAACTCTAAAGGTAAAATAAATGCACTACTATGGTGTTGGTAGAGTACCTTTTTATGTGGCTGTATGAATCCTTGATCTTTAAATGTGTACTTTATAAACAGTGTTTACAAGAAGCTTCACTAGTTTGTTATTCCAGCAAGTCCCTTGGGGAGAGCTTCATTCGGCATTTGTTTCACTCATATGCTTTGCTTTTGGCATATGCTTGCTTTTTGCACTAGTAGAATTTTAACTTACCTCAATATTATGTCTGTAACCATTTGTATAGCTTCCATAAAGTACCTAATAGAGGCTAAACTTAACAAATACTTAACCAAAGGTAAAGTTAAAATCAATGGTAAGCAATTTTGCACTTTTTAAATAGTAGGGGATTTTTGTGTGTGCGTGTGTATATATGTTAAAAAAAAAGAATAGAAAGTTTCAGCGAATAGATACTGCAAGCCCAATTATTTTAATGTTGCATTTTCTTTTAACCTCTTTTTCTATATTAATTATACATTCACATCTTAAAGCACTTCCCTTTGCTTTTCCCCCAATATTGTTTTGTAAGGTACAAAGTAAAGATCAATTTATTAGAAAGTTATATCCCAAAGGATGGACCTCCCTCCTTGAGAGGAAATGTGGAGGAGAGGCCTCAGTATTTTTTATTATTAAAATTGACGCTCTTCTTTAATGACAAGAAATAAGTTGATTTTAAAGGACAGAGCATTTGTTTATGCACGGTTATGCCTGTTGGGCATTTTCAGGTTATGGATTTACTTTACTTAAATGCCTCTGCTTTTCTAAACAAGGAGGCGATTATGAAGCTATGGTTCCAACATATAGCTTATGTTTCAGAGGGGAGGACGGTCTTCATACCAAGGGATTGGTCAACATAATGTTTTCACTTTGAGAGTCCCGATATTATTTTTCATTTTTGGACACGTGTACACTAAGCACCAGACACTCTCTGAAAGATGCCATTGAGCGATCTCTGTAACTTTGACATTAGTAGTTAATATGCTACCTTAAAGCTGCTGGGGTCATAAGTAGTGTAGATTGGGGGTTGATAAAGAGGGATGTAATTTAGCTTCTTATGTTTTGCACATTTCCTGTTATATAATATAAGCGTATTTTATGCATGGATTTCCCATAAGAGGATTCACATTGAGTTTCTTTCTTTCTTGACTCCTCCAGTTGGATAAAACAAATAGCAAGCTTCTATTCTACATCTTTTTGTGCTAACTTTGGTTCATATAGGTAATAAAAATATTTTTAATGTTGCATGCTCTTAGAGTTATGTTTTCTGGAATATTGTGTTGGCTTCATTTGAGTTAAGCAAATTGTTTTGACTGTTTTAATTATGAACAAGGCAAATATAACCCGCTTCATGTGAGGTTTTGAAGCAAATAAATCAGACTGCATGTCACTCACCACTTTTATCACCCAATTATATAAATATAATCATCTAGAGGGAGGTGAAACTGTTGATCCATTAATTCAAAGATGTGTAGACTAGCAAAGATGTGTTCTGATTAGAGACATGGTCTACTAGGACTAAAGTTACTTAACAACAAGAACAAAAAACTGTAGCATTTGTAATGTAAAAATAATTTGTCATTTTGGACATAAAAAGTATTATTACTATTTAAAAGAACTGTAGATATCTAATCATAAATGAAGTAGATTTCAAAACTAGACTTGGTCTTTGTGTTTTCCAAGAACTGATTTTAGGCAGTTTTATGTTATTATGTACCAATGATATGTAAAATAAAGCACCTTTTCTACAATATAAACAATTACAGATGTTTTTTTATTTTTAATTACATGAAAAATTAGTGATGTCCGTAAATTTTTAGAAACATTATTTGTGTCATTTATTTTAGAATATATGCATTCTTTAAATTAAGAATTGTATCTAAAAACATATTTCTAAGTCAAGTGGTTATTAAGAATAATTTTCTCAATACAAGAAAGTTGCCTACCTAATCCTTAATCTAGCTAAACACTCTTGTAGCTAAAGTAGTACATGTTTGGAGGTAAAACAGCAGATGGCTCTAAGGAGTTATTACCACCACTTTTGTTTCTTTAGTCTTAATTTTTTCAATATACTTTTCACCCTTTTTAAAAAATCACAGTAGCCAAGCTTGTACGCCCCTGCTCGATTATAGCATGGTTTTTACGTTGGTCACAGAGAGAACCTCTTCTTGCCCAAACCCCGTGAACTTCGACATCATACTTGACTTTGTCATCGGACACTATAACCAACTCCTTTGACATGTTCACCTTTTTAGTTCCTGTAGGGATCTCTGTTGGCCTAGCAGTTAAGGAGTTACACTGCCAACCCAAAAAAGCAGGCAGTTCGAACCCCCCCAGCTGCTCTGCAGTAGAAAGAGGGGCAGTCTCCTCCTGTGCTTGTTCACAGCCTCTTGCAAACCTGTTGGCGGGTCAGCGAGGAGTCAGTTCTGCCTGGAGGGCAGTGAGCTGCTGTTTTGGAGTTCGTTCCCACGGTGCCATGCTCGAGCTCTCCTTATCCACGTCCTTGTGTCTTCAGACCTGTCCTCACCTCTACTTTTTTCAATATTCAGGTAAAAAGTGTTGCCAGCCTGGTAAAGTAGTTCCTGGCCTGCTTCATTTTCATCAATAATGGACCCCTTCTTTTTGTGCCCTCACTGTCCTTAAATTAAGTCTTTCATCTCAGAAGCTTAACCACTTACTTGATGATTGTCCTTTTCCCTCACCCAGCTAGTGAGTGTTTGAGGCAGAGTGGGCCTATATAGCTAATCCTTTGGTGTCAGTCATTTACTAGTACTTAAATGTTTGAGCTGAAAAGTACCGAATACCTCCTGGACTGCCAAAAGATCAAACAGATATGTCCTGGGAAGAATGCCCCTTGGAGGCAAAGATGGCAATGCTTCATCTCACATTCTTTGGGCATGTAGTTAGGAGAGGTTCTTCTTGAAGAGGACATCCTGCTTGAAAGGTCAGCAGAAGAGAGGAAGACCCTCAACCACGTGGATTACCACAGTGACTGCAGCAGTCGGCTCGGGTATCTCAGAAATGATGATAGCACAGGATGGGAGAGGGTTCAGTTCTGTTCTTCATATGGTTGTTATGAATGGTACTCAACTCAGTGGCACCTAACAGCAACAACAACAAACGTTTCAACAAGCAAGTTAAAAAAGTTCAGCAAGAAAAACATCATCTTTCACCTCTCCATGCCCTTTTCCCCACTTTCAAATTCAGGTCCTCAGTTTCAGCAAGCAGGATTGTATCATCTGCAGAATGCAGATTGTTGATGAGTCTTCCTCTGATTCTGATGCCACAAAGGAAAATTAGCATAGGTTTTTTTCACAGCTCTTAAAAAGACAGTATTGGTCTGAAAAGAGCTGAACATTTATTGGGTTCAGTGTATAGTTCTGGATTATGATTTCTTAACCTTAGGTAATCTGCAAAATGAGCTCAACATCCTTCACAAATGAGTATCTCTTATTTCTATGTAGGCAGTTGTCCAGCACTGGGGGTGGGGGGTCCCCTACCCAACTAAGAAGCCTTAGTGTCACAGTGGTTAGGAGCTGGTCAGTGCTTCTCACCCACCAGCTGGTCCACAGGAGAAAAGACCCAGCAGTGTGCCTCCAGAAAGATTGCCGCCTGGAAAACCCTGGGGGGCTGCTGGAGGATCTGTCCTGGAGGATCACAGCAAAC